TGTTGTTGTTGTTGTTGTTGTTGTTGTTGCTGCTGCTGCTATGTCCCCCCTCGCCGAACCAGGCCGAGGGGAGGGACACGGCCTGGCTGGCGGGGCGGAGGGGCCCACAATCGCCCGCAGGCGCGTCAGTTGGCAGGATGACGTTGCAGGTTCGAGGCACCGCCGGTCGGAGGGCGGCTGCGGCCGCACGCCCCCGGAGCGAAGACCGGGGAGGGGGGGCTGGGCTTATCGCGACTCCCTGGGCGGGGATGTACTCGGGGGGGGGGGGGGGGCGAGGCGCGTTCGCATCAGCGGAGCTTGTCCATATAGACTCGGGCTGGTGGAGGACACCCGCACCCGCCCACAGCGCCCCCGCTGCACCAGGCGCAGGCGGGAGACGGTGCCAGCGCGCCCGGCGTGCGGCCGCGAGGCAGACAGGCTGGCACGCCCGCCGGGGGCGACCGAGGGCGACCGGGGAACCAGCCCGTTCTGGAAGGGCGTGCGCTGCAGATCCGTCGGGGGGCGCGGGGCTTTCACGCCGCCACTGCCCGAAAGTGTGTGCGGGCGAACAGGCGCAGCCGGCCTCGAGGAGCGGCTTAATTGTCTGTGCAGCCCGTGCGGCGCCCGACGCACAGGGACCCAGACCGGAGGGCACCGCCGGAGCATGCCCACTCTGGATATTCAGCCCCTGCCGGCCGCCAGTTCACACCGGTCTCTGGCAGACCGCCGTGCCCGGGGGGAGGAGGCACAGGGGGCTTCTCGCCCGCGGGGGGGGGGGGGGCGTCCGCCCCTCTCCCCAGGGGAGGCCCGGCTTGGAACGCGATGGCGGGGGGAATACGCCTGTGGGGGTGCGCGCCGGGGAGCACGTCTCCCCGCCCCGAAGGGGGCAAGCCCGGTGCCCGGCGCCCGGCGCCCCCTCGCCTTGCCCCTTGGCCGGGCGCGCCGCGCATTGGTGTCGCCTGGCCCGCACCCCGGTGGCTTCTCCTTGCCCGCTTCCACATTTCGCCCCCGCGCCTTTGCTGGCGTCTTTGTCCCCCGGGCGACCGCGGGGGGACCGGCCGCCAGCCCGGCCAGTCACTTTGTTGCTTCCCCCGCCAGCGCGCCGAGGCGCAGGGGCGCCGGGCTGCAGACCAGATTGCCAAATTCCGAAATTCCGGAGCGTCGATGCCTTTACTGAGAAAGTCCCCGGCCGAAGGGGCCGGTGGGGAGGGGGGGGGGACAGCGCTTCGGGCGTTATTTTCCCGCCCTATCTCTGGCCCGGATAGAGAGATGGTCGGGGAGGTCCGGGGGGCGCGGGGGGTGCGGCGGGGGGCCAGGGCGCCGGCACACACACACACACACATCCGCGCAAGCGCCTGCGCACAATACAACACACACGGGCACACTTGCGGGGTGGCGCGTGCGCCCGGGCCCCGGCAGCCAGCCCATTGCGCACCCCGGCTGAAATGGCCGTCCGCAGAGCGGCCGCGGGCCAAGCCGGACCGCGCCGCCGGCGTCCCCCCCCCCAGGCTTGCGATTCAAGCCCTGGCGGTCTGGCGCCCGTGCGGAGGGCACGGCGGCACCTTTGTGTTTCACTCCCCCCCCCCCCTCCGTGCACCTGCCCCCTCCTCCTCCCCTTCCCCCTCTCCCTCCCTCTCCCCACGCACACACGCACACACGCACACACGCACATTCGATCGCCATGTCTGCCGCCGCGCCCCCCGAGATCAGTACCACCTCCACCAAGACCCGGCGCCTGGCCGTCCTGGGCTTCCGAGCTGTTGGTCCGTGTCCTGGTCGGCATGCACCCGGCCATCTTTTTGCCCTGGCGATCGGCGCCCCACTGCTCTGCCGCCCCCTTGTCCCATCCTCCGATCTCTCACCCTTCCCCCCTCCCCTCCTCTCCTGCCGGCTGGGGCTGATTGATCTGCTCCAGGCAAATCCTCCCTGACCATCCGCTTCGTGGACAACCACTTTGTGGACTCCTACTATCCGACCATCGAGTCGACCTACACCAAGACCGTGCAGCGGCCGGTCCGCCACGCCCGGCGCGGTGCCCCGACCGAGGAGTCCTTCACCCTGGAGATCACCGACACCGCTGGCCAGGCACGTCCGCTTTGCTCTCCCCCCCCCCTCCCGTTGGCTGGCCGCTGTGTATGCGCACGGCGTCAACGCAATCCGCCTGCGATGTGCTAACCCGCCAACCTCCCCCTCCGGCCCGGCCGCACCCCTCGAACGCCTCGCACACACACGCACACACACACACACACACACACAGGATGAGTACTCCATCCTGTCGTCCAAGCACGCGGTGGGCATCCACGGCTACGTGTTCGTGTACTCGATCAATCTGCAGTCCTCCTTCGAGAACTGCAAGACCCTGCGCGACAAGATCCTCGATGCCACCGGCACCGACTGGGTTCCCTGCGTGCTGGTCGGCAACAAGGCCGACCTGGTGGCCCAGAGACAGGTCACCCAGGAAGCGGCCGAGGAGCTGGCCAAGAGCTGGCGCTGCCCCTTCTTCGAGGCCTCGGCCAAGCATGACGAGAATATCAGTGCGTCTGCTCTTGGATTGCTCCGTGCTGCCCGGATCTCCCCCCGCCCTTCTTTCTCTCACTCCCCCACCCTGCCGCCCTTGTGTGCGTGCGCATGTTGCTAACCTGTGCCCTGGGCTGGTCCCTTGTGCTCTGTCCCCGCCGCCCCATCTCCCAGACGAGAGCTTCTTCGCCCTGCTGGATCTCATCGAGGAGCAGAACAATCCGCCCCCTCCGCCGGAGAAGTCCGGCCTTTGTATTCTGGTCTGAGGGGGGCTGCTCCGCCTGGGATGTCCGAGGGGACGTGGGAGGGGCCGGGAGGCGGCGGCGGCGGCGGCGGCATCAGCAGGGGCTCCCCCCCCCCCCCCCCCCCCCCCACCTTGTAATCTCGTGGGCGCGCGCGGCCGCCCCGGGCCCACCCCCCGCCCGCGCGCGCGCGCGCGCGCCAGCCGGCTTCATGTTCGGCGGGTGGAACGGGGGCAAAGGGGGGTCGCCAGAGGCCGTGTTGCTCCGGGGGCGGCACACCCGAAAAGGAAAAAAGCCAGGTGGCTGGCGACGGGGCCAGGCGCCTGCAGCTCCAAACAGCC